AAAATATTTAAAGGAAACCAGTACTGAGGAAATATGGAGGCTGTCTTTAGTACCATTTCCTTTTAAAAATGCTAGCTTCCATGTCTTCACTTCAATTTACTTTGGAGTTAAATGACTATATAAATGCTTGAGCTTAAGGCTGCAGGTCACAAATGAAAAGAACATACTAAAATGAGTTGAACTTTAATATGCCTAAAAAAATATTGTAAAGAGTATTTTATCTTTGTAATGTACCAAGAGTGAAACTTAGACTGACAGACCCAAATTGTGTTGATAGAAATTGATAGACACTGGTAAATATATATATATATATATATATATATATATATATATATATTATATATTTTATTTCCTCTTCCTATACATCCCCTTTTTCCTAAAGTCTTCCTGCAGGTCTGATGACATCACAGAAACAGTCACAAATGCTGGGCTCACAGATAACACAGGTCTGCGACTAAAAAGCTGTTTGATTATTTTCATCTAATTTCCATGTATTTTGGTGTGTTGAAAACAAATAAAATATTGAAAAAACTCCTAGATGTCATGATTTGCCACAAAATGCAAAATTGTCTTCAAATTTATCAAATTTTTTTAATTTTTGGTATTTTTTTTATATTATGGGTTTTTAACCAAATTTAAAGTCCAAATTACTAATAATTAATTCACGTAAGTGCAGTTAAGATATAAATGCCAAAAAAAACCTTAAAGGGGTTGTCCAAGTTATGTAAAAAAAAATTTAGCACTGTAAATCTGATGGTCAGCAATATATACATAAGCTAAGCAAGTTTTAGGGAAAAAAAATTCTATTTCCTCATTTCCCTAGTTCTCTTCTGGCCCTTTGTTATTATTTGCAGGTACACAATCTCTGCCCCCCCCCCCCCCCGCAAAGGGGGTGAATATAAGTGCTGCTCTGAGTGACATGTCTGACTACTGGGATACTCAGCAGCATGCTGTATGTGTAAGCCTCAGCCCTGAGTCTGTGCTTCTAATGGTAGAAGGGGTTAATCTTTCCTGAAGAATCCAGTGGGTGGGATACCAAATACCCTTGTCTTCTGAGTCTATGGGACAGTCGAGACTGACAAAATCACTGGACCAAGAAGAGTTGGCAGCTGAGGGTGATAACAGTTGGTGAAAAAAATGTCCTCCGAGAAACTTTGGTACCTTCCCATAAAGTTCTTCTACCACCTCTCCACATAAAATTGGGATTGATGAAGCAATTCGTAAAATCACTTCCAAGAGATGGAGAATGCTTCAAATACTTGGTCACCAAGTTTCCAGGCCTGTCGGAGGCAAAATTGAAGGAAGGTGTGTTGGTCGGACCAGACATTAGAAGGCTTATTGTTGATCAAGAGTTTGTCAATACCATGACGGGTGGATTGCATTTACATTTATTTGCATTGACGGGTGGATTGCAAAAAGAAGGGTGGATTGCATTTACAGAAGTCGTACAGAAATTTTTAGGCAATAACAAAGATCCTCACTACAAAAAAGATCGTCGGACGGATGCTGAAAGCATTTCAAGCATTAGGTTGCCTGATGAGTTTGAAAGTGCATTTCCTCCAGTCCCACCTTGACTACTTTCCTGAAAATTTGGGAGCTGTGAGTGAGGAACAAGGTGAATGATTCCACCAAGACATTAAAGAGATGGAAAGGAGATACCAGGGAACATGGAGCATTACAATGATGGCAGACTACTGTTGGATGCTTCAGAGAGACATTCCAGATGCTACTCACAAGCGTAAATGTACCAAGAGGAGTCTCACAGGGAAGAAGAATCGAGTTTAGTGTGTGTAGGTGAGCTCATTTCAGTTCAAAAAAGGATTTTCATGAAAAAATTGTAATAAAACTTTAATTTTATAAGTCTATTTCCATTTATTTTGAGGTATTGCCTTATTTAACATAGTTACATAAATTGTCAGATAACGTGATGTCCTATGACAAAATGGAGGTCATTTTCGGATTCAGCGCACCAAAAAACATAAAGATTACGTGGAATAACCAAAACAGCTCTTGAAAAAAATGTTTTTGCAGACCTGTGTAATAGGCAGAATGACAAATTGTTGTTTTGCCTTGATCTCCAATGCTGATTCAAGAAGGATCTCAGGGACAGCACTGGAGCATGGAGAGAATTGGTAATATTTTTTATTAGAGAGGAGTGAATCCATAGAAAAAAAATTAAGTGGAGTTCTACTTTAATTCACACTGACTGGCTTCTTTTAGGCCAGAGAGCAGGCTAAGGATTTGGATGAGGCTGTCCATAAAACAACAAATACATTAGTACAGAGCTGCAGATCACACATTAGCCACTCATTTTAGTGCAAAGCACACCAACCAGATTTGCTCATCCCTAGCGGACCTTTGCACCTTATAGAATAAACATCCCAATGTCAACACCCACAATAAATTGTGTTATTGTGTTTGAACATACTATAATGGGTGAAAAGCTCTGTTTTTATGTAAAACATGCTGGGAAAATACTAACAAAAACACTGGATAGCCACCTGCTCTATTAAGAATGAAAGGAACTGATTAATTACGTATGTCAGTGAGAAAAAAAAAACAAAACTTGTCACCAGTGTATGAAATCCTTTCTCAGAAAATGCAGAGGACTTCCAATTAAGAGCAACCGGCAGGAAACCAATTTGTAGAAGGTCATTACAACCATTTCTAAATCTGGAGATGCTTCTTGTTAGATTTTGAACTCAACACAACAAACTCAATGGAGCCACCAAAAGGCTGCAGTGTGTTTGACTTTACCATTCAGTATGCTTTTTAATATGTTTTTCATGTAAATACTGATTTGGGTAAGATTTTCAATATTTCCCAAACATCCTGATTTGCTGCCTTTACTTTATTGAAAGATTTCACATTTTTTTGCAGTGTATGATTAAATACATAGTCAAATAATTTTAGTTTTTGGTATTTTTTTTATCATTGATAGCATTGAAATAAATTGCTTCATTGCTGCTCAATCTGACATATTTATTGATAGTGTTTACAGCAGGAGATGGCATCAAAATATTTGTTTTCTGCTGTATTCATGCTGTGCTATTCAGATTCACTTAGTTCCAGAAAATGAGGAGGCTTACTTTTTTTTTTAATACATTCTGAAAATAGATTCAAACACAAAGAACATTCTTTTAGCTACCAGAATGACAGTGTTCATTGCATGACTCACCAAAATATAGTATAAAAAAAACAAGCAAGATTGACATGTGATTGCTATGCTTGTTCTCGTTAGACTGTAATAGATGATTTGAGTGTATGTGTGCAAGTATGTGTGTGTGTGTGTACACAAGTGCGCATACAGGTGTATGTGTGTTTAGGTAAGTGAATGTGCCTGTGATATACCAGTTTTTAAGGCATGTAAGTATTATCCAATTTCATAACTGCAAAGAAATGGCAAATTTATTAATGTGTGCATATTACAAAATGAATGAAACAAAAGGAAAAAAAATCTATTTGCTGTCCCTGCTATTTAAATTGCCAGATCGCCAGCTACCAATTTTCTCCTAAGTATGTCATATTCACACAATTATGTAATTTTGGTCCAGCTGCTGATCCCTTTTCCATAGCTAATATGGATACCTATTTATTAAAACAAAAAAAAAAAACAATATTTGCCCAAATCCAGCCAATTAAAAAAAAAGTTCTTGAAAATATTGTTCACACATATTATTTGCTTGTACAGTATGTATTTATAATTAGGGAACTAAAGCTTGTCCTTGATTTTATGTTGTCATAGGGATGCTGGTCAAAGTTTTCTTTATAATTGTTTCTCTAAATAGTGGAAAATGCCAAAAGTCATTCATGACAAAAATTGGTTTCTATTCATTTCACCAAATGTTGCACTCTCTTGTTTTAGTAAATCAACCGCTAGTCTACATGTAGACAAATAGTATTTATAGTGTTTTTCTCCCTAAAGAACCACATAAAAATATATATAAAAATGATGAAAAAAGGGTAGATTTCACTACCTAAAATCCTGCTATTCTGCATTGAATTTCAAAAAAATGTAAGCCAGTTTGGTGATAAGTGTTAATGATAATGGCGAGAGAGTTTTAGCATTTTGTCATCCTTTTTCTGGATATACAAGCATCAAACCAATCCTTCAATGAAAAGAACATTTTGACAATCAGATTGAATAAAACAATTAGTATTTTTAAATATTTTCAATTATTTTTATTAGCGAATGGATGGGGTTGTAAAATTCTAGACATTTTCAAGCCAATTGTGTGTACTGCAGAGTCACTTGCGATTGGCCAATTCTGAAATATTTTTTTTCCCTTTAAACATTTAAAGTGAATGAATTGGCATAGGTTGATTTCCCATTTGTGTTGCATCAAGTGATTTTTTTTCAGATATCCATACAATTAAAAAATAGACCACATGGTTGTTTATTGTATAGCCAATATTAGACAATCACTCATATTCAAAACTATATCACTCATATTTAAAAACTATCAAAATATTTAAAGCAGACAACACCATAAAATGTATTCCTGTACTAAAATGACAAGCACATATCTAAGGATCAAAGCTTTGTAAAGATTATTAATTGGTAAAAGGCGACAAGCTCAATTTGTAGTATTAAGGCACTGAGACCCACTCAGTTTTCTCACCAATGTGCCAGTCCTTTACTATAGTGAAGGAAGGCCAAGAAATGAACCATACTTCAAAGCAGAGTGCCCTCCTACTGCCAGTCATGATTTATGTTTTTACATCACTTTTAAATGCTTTACCGCCGCCCTGTAGCAAATAGTGCTACATAGAAACACTGCTACAGGGCGGCAGAGGTGCGCAAAATCACATATATATATATACGTAATTTTGCATATCCAGGTAGGGGGCGTGCGCGAGCTGTACGCGAGCCCTACCCATGCTGCCATTTGGCTGTCAATCACCGAATCCTGGCTGGTGATTACTTGCCGGCACCCGGTGATCGCCAAGTATTACCAACGGGGGAGAGAACTGTATGTAAACAATACATTTCTCTCCCCTGTCAGCTCCAGCACACTGCTTTGTATGGCTCTGCATAGCAGAGCCATTCAAACTAGAGTGCTTACAGTGAAAAGTACAGACACAGCCTCATAGTAAAACACACTCAGCACACAGTTAACCCTTTGATCGCACCAGATGCCAACCCCTTCCTGCCCAGTGCCATTAGTACAGTGTCAGTGCTTTTTGTTAGCACTGATCACTGTATTGGTGTCACTGGGGATTTCAGTGACATCAAGTCAGTTCCTCCCAGCGTCAGAATGCCCACCGTAGTCCCACAGTCCCACTATAAGTTGCTGATTGCCACCATTACTAGTAAAAAAAAAATTAGTATCAGTATATATTCCGCCATTTGTAAACGCTATAACTTTCTCGTAAACCAATTAATTTACACGTATTGGGATTTTTTTTAGCAAAGACATGTAGCAGAATACATGCCCTAAATTTCTGATGAAATTTGATTATTTAAATTTTTTACTGGACATGTTTAATAGCAAAAAAGTAAAAAATATTGTTGTTTTTCTCAAAATTGTTTTTTTTTGTTTATAGCACAAAAAATGAAAAATACAGAGGCGATCAAATACCAAAAGAAAGCTCTCTTCTTGGAAAAAAGGACATCAGCTTCAGTTCAAGTGAAGGATTTTATTGGTGCCAAGCAATAAAATAACTAATAATAATAATAGGTACTTTAAAATATGCATAACTAGGGAGTATATGATATTATATATATATATATATATCCATATTAGTCAAGACTAAACACCTCGGGGTTTATTTACTAAAGCTGGAGAGTCCAAAATCAGACTCCCTTCTGCATAGAAACCAATCACCTTCCAGGTTTCATTGCCAAAGCTTCATTGAACAAGCTGAGGTTAGAAGCTGATTGGTTTCTAGGCAGAAGGGAGTCTGATTTTGGACTCTCCAGCTTTAGTAAATAAACCCCCTCATGTCTCCTCCTCGACAACAAGCAGCTTAAAAGGAAATTGTAATGGTTTGGGGTTGACTACTTTTCTATTTTTCAAGTGTAGCACTACCCTCGTGAGGGCCACTGTGTTGTAGGTGTCCCTAAGCCTATCTCCACACAGCCAGGCAACAGATATTTCTCACACCAGTTTGCATCCAAAGACAATGACCAGTTCTTGGCTTGGTTTTGTTATTTTGTTAGGGGAAATCAACTTGGATGGGAAATAGGGATTAAGGGATGTCCAATTTGGCTTGAAACAATGAAGGGGGGCACTTCCCTCCTACGTACAAAGGCAGATCCTGGACCGTTCTTTTCCTGAAAGCCGTCAGTCGTTGCGGATCAGTAGCAGCTGCCCTTTACGGGCGAGTGACTAGCAGCCCATCAAAAATCAATTTACTTCTTGTAGTTACATGCAGAGGCATCTTCTCTCCCCTTATCTATACTGTTCCCATCTCCACAGCCTGCAAGCACTACAAGCCCTCCTGGCTTTTCTGAAGATCTCCAGGGACAAGGATTAAGGATTGAGCCCAGTGCTGTCCTTAGGAAGCTTGCTACATTTGGCAGTCTTTCCCCTTGTGGATCCCAAAATTTGCTGCTGTATTCACACTATCCTCCTTGATACCTGCTGCTCCAGCTCTTGAACCCTTCCATGCCTCTCTACAGAATGTATCCTCCTGAGCCAGCCTGAGCCTTGCCTAGAGGCCGCCTCCCCCCCAGACCTAGGGGACCCTTCCTAGGCACCGGCAGTCTCCTCAGCAGTCCATCTTCCACCAGACTCCACTTTCAATCTGACTCTCCCATATTTATAGGCCAGTCCACCACTCTACCAGGACCTCTAAACCTGGAATTGGATGGACCCCCCATGAATATGCAGATTAGGCCTCCACCCCTTCCTCAATCACTGGAAATCTGTATGTAGCAGTATACTGCAGACATAGGGGTAAAGGGAGGGAGGAGGACTCACTAATTATTTCTGCTATGAGTGTAGTATGAGCTTGAGCTATTGATCTCTGTAAACATTTTTTTTTTTTGCAAAACAATTAAGATTACTGAGGTAAAAATAGTAAAGGAGCATGGATCTATATCTACTGGCTGGCAAAAAATAACTTGAATTAGTCATAATTAGTCTTACGATATTTCATTTTCACTTGCTTAAACACATGAACAAAAAAATGTTTCAAGCATTTATTTTTTAGCCCTGAACATGGTAATCAAAGAATAAAAATATAAAAATATACAGTGTACACTTACATTTAATGATCAGGGTGTTCTTACAGCACAAGCAACTCTCTTTCACAATACCACTTCACCAGAACATATAATTAGTAAAAAACAAAGGGTGGGAGTGGGTTGCAAAAAAACTGTAAGGTGGCTTAAAATAATATGTTTTGCTACACCATCTGTTTAGTGTCAAGCACAAACCATGTCCCTGATATTATTTTTATGCCTCTGTGTGATTTCTGTGTACAGTGTATTAAGAATTTCATGCACATATGTTTGTCTCTATTGTGTCTATGGTTGCAATATATACAGATTTTGAAAGAAAAAAATAATATTCTATTACACTGTAATTTTTCTACTTTCTTTTTTTCCAAAAACAAAGTTTATTGAAAACAAGATACAAATTTTCACACGAAAATGTACAGAGGAAATGCACATAGGACAAACAGCAAAACATAATCATACAAAGGCAAATGAGGTCCAACGCAAGACCAAACAGTGTGGATGAACTAGGCCACGACAGGGTTGTGCCAGCAATATTTAGGTATGCTTGTCAAGTGCTTAAAATAGAGACGTCTGGCCTTCCACCATAACGTCTAGCGATAAAAATCTGTAGGGGGAAAAGAGCAGTACGATGCCTATGTGAGAGTCAATACTACAGAATACGATGGTGGAATTGTGCGAATGTAGGAGTAATTGTCGTGGGAACCGCGAACGAATTGCGGGAGGTGATGCTGACCGCATACTCAGTGTGCTTCGGAAAAAGTGTCCAAAACGTGTAAAAGCATATGAAAGAAAAGAAAAGAGAAGGCGAGAGAAAAAAAAAAAAAAAAAAAAGGGGGGGGACAGAAAGAAGAAGAGGGGGGGGGAGAGAGATGAAGAAAAGAAAAAAAAAAAAGGGGGGGAGGGGGGGGGAGGGAAGGGAAGCAAGTGGGGAGGGCAAAATAAGAGAAGGGACAACCGACAAAAAGATCTTATCCTCCAGGCAAACAGTAGCGGGAGTGGGGTAGAACCTAAGCTATCAGCGGCGTCAAAGGAAAGCGTGTGTAACACAGGGGGAGTATGAGGACACCCTCAGGTCAAATACCACTAAATAACACTATCAGGAAGTCCAAATTAGGTTTAGACAGATTGGTCCATTGAGGGATCGATATTCCAGGGGTAGTCAGAAAATGGGTCCAGCAGGCCCATACATGAGAGTATTTTCGTAGGAGTATCGAGGGCTAGTCGCAACCAGGTTCTTCCGATGTCCGCGTTTTACCCACTCGAGTGAGCCATTCACGGATAGAGGGAGAGCGAGTGGAGCCCCATAGAACTGGAATACAGAGTCTGGCTGCGTTGATCATGTGCATGGCTAAATGATTTAAAATACTGAGCCCTGGGAAGGGAAGAGTGATGGAGGAGGAATTGGGCAGGAGAGAGAGCTAAGGGTAAAGTAGTTATAGACACTACTAACCTATGGACCTCCTGCCAAAAATGGTTGAAGAAGCGGGCAAGACACCAAATGTGAAGAAAGGACCCATCCGGGGACCCGCATCTCCAGCAGCCATGTTGGGGAAGGCGGAGTTAAAATGTGATGAATTCTTGAGGGAGTTCGGTACATTCTAGAGGCTATTTTGTAGCTGTTTCTTGAGTGTCGAGACATTGAGGGAACATTTATGAGAGTATTGGAAAACCAGTGTCCCAGTCGGAGTCCGACAACTCAGCATTAAGATCTCTCTTCAAGCCGACACGGCGGGGAGGGAAGTCATAAGACCGGCTCTCCACTAGAAGTGGGTAGATCTCCGAGATCAGATGTTTCCGTGGTTCAGCTTCGCGCTTGCAGATTCAAATGGGGTAAAGAGAGCGAGATGCCAGTTATGAGGGGGTTTATGAGAGAGCAGATAATGTCCTGATCTGGAAATATACCCAGAAAGGGAATTCGCGAATACCAGGCTTTCCTGCAGTTCACTGAGCGTTTTCACCTGCCTTTGTGGAGAAAATGTTTTCACTAAGATCTGTTTGTGGCGGCCAGTGTTTCATAAAAAATCTTTATGCATCCCAGGGGGGAAGTCAGGGTTTGAGGGCGTATAGGGGTTGCAGGGGGTTGGGTGTGTCAGAAATGGCAGCAGATCTACAAGCCGATCGGAAAATTTTTAACGTAGGTCCCACCAAGGGATGGGTGAGAAGAGCTTGTGGCGTGTGTTTCGGTGAGAGCCAAGAATCGATGCCCCGGGGGAAGGGCGAGCAAGCATTCTCTATAGATATCCAGTCTTTGGAGGCATATGAACGTGCCAATCAACTATCCGGGAAAGATGACAAGCCCAATAGTAGCGGTAAAGATCAGGAAATCCTATGCCCCATTTTTAGTTTAGAGAGGTGTTACATAGGCAATACGTTGGACTTTGTGGCTCAAAGGAACAGAGAACACAGTCTTTTGCAAGAAGCAAAGAAAGCAAGAGGTAAGTGAATTGGTAATGTTTGGAAGAGATACAGGAGACGGGGAAGTACATTCATTTTAATGATCGCTGCCCTTCCACAACCACGAGAAACAGGGACGGGTGCCATTTATTGAGGTATTTCTTGCATAGAGCGAAAGAGCGGTAAGATAGTTTTTCACATAAAGGTCATCAAGGTTACTGGTGAGCTGGATACCGATATAATTAGGGAATCCCTTTCCCAATGAAATGGAATTGGGCCTCACAAGCAGAGACCAGCTCAGCAGACAAAGTAATGTTTAAGGGCGGCAGATTTTGGAAAAATTAATTTTAAAATTCCAAATATCTAAAAAGGCAAAGTCTTTCAGTAGGTTCGGGGGTGATGTGAGGGTCCGCCAGGAACAAGAGAATATCATCCGCATAATCTGCAAGCTTATATTCCCTTGGTCTGCCACCGTGATTCCTTGAACATCAGGGTTTAAACGAATTTTCCGCAACAGGGGCTCAAGGGATAGGACAAACAAAAGCGGTGGAGAGGGGGCATCCCTGACGTGTACCGTTCCGTAGATGAAAGGAGTTTGACAGATGACCGTTCACCCGGACCCTGGCAGTAGGTGCAGAAAAAAAAATAGAGGGCCATAATAAAGTTAAGCATCTTTCACCCAGACCCGAGTGCCACTAAAGATGCGTTCAGGTAATCCCAGGCAATCTGTCAAAGGCCTTTTCTGCATCCAAGGAGAGGAAAAAACTGGGGAGATGTTAGACCTGTGAAGCCAGTGGTGGAGAT